GAAACACCGACGTAGCTCACACTAGTTTTCAGCTAGTTATATCATGCTTTTTGGGGCTTGATCTCTGTATCATTCTTAGTCTTGCGAGATATCAATTTGTAAAATCGAGGCTCCCGGGAAAAACTACCAAATTCTTATCAAATCTCGAGGGATTGATGACAAAAAAGAAAGAATAGAGAAAGAAAGATTCATTATGTGTCGTTCTTGGCTTATCTTTCACTAATTATTTTCTTTTCGTACACTACTTTTATCTTCGATTGTCGCCATTGGTGATTTCCAAGTTTGGTGGTACTCCAAGTTTAATTACAATTCAATATTCTCATTAAGGCACTAGAGAAGCTGTGAGCGAGATTACTCCAAATCCATCCAATTGTCTTTTCACATTATCATTGTAAATACCGTATGAGACGCGAGGATCATCTCTTGCGAGCGTGTTTACTGTAAATGTTCATGACGCATCTGAACATGGCCAGTATAGGTCCAGTTTTCGTATCGTTACTACACTTTTTGGCGTTCAAAAGTTTATCTTTGTCGCATGCGATGCAAGTCCCATCTAAGCTTTACATTGGTAAGTGAAAACTGTTTAAACGTTTAGTGCACTGCGTTTCTTTTTGCATATYTTTTTCAAATTTTTTGAAACGAATTTTTAGTCTCTCAAATGTATTAGATTTAAAAATCAAAGTCTTCATTTACATTTTATTTATGAGTAAAAAAAATGGTGTTAACATTCGGCGAAAACTTCGTGAGCGAATTTTTTTAGAGATTTCATATGTTTTGAGAATATTTTGRAAACAATTTCGACAATATTCCCAAGAAGCAATTAACAGGACAGTTCATAGGATGTCATACTGTTTTTCGAATTACAGTTTTGTACTTATTGCAACATCTTTTGAGCTTGTAAGTGTGCTGCATATCTCAAATCAAACAACTGAATCTCCTTATCAGCACGGCAGCGTAATATCAAAATAATCTGTTTTTGAAAGGGATGGGGGACCCATCTCTTCCAAGAGATTGACAATCAAATCGGTATACGTTTGTTGGAAATAGTACAAAATGTTACTGTAATAAATTCAAATTATTGCTCGTTAAATTTYTACCTCGAATATAATTCTAACAGCAAATTAAGAAATTTTAAGACGAATGAAAACTTGCAAAGAAGCTACTCATTAATATTRTAGTTTTGAACTACTTATTTATAGACTAGTGTAGATGTAAAAAAAAATTCAAAATTAACTGACATCAGTTAAGCAAAAAAAAAAAAAAAAATTCTGTAAATATTAATAAAACAATTAATTTTATATATAAGGCCCCGTTTACACGAAGCCGGATATTTTCGTAAACGCATATAGTTTTATCCGTTTAGGCCTACGTTTACACGGAGACGGTCTGTAGCCGGATATTTTCGTAAACGCTGACGTCACTAAACAAAGGAGATCGCAGGTTCAGGAACTATGCGCATGCTCATTTAGCTCCTATGAGCGTTTTCGAGTCAATGGAGCGTTTTCGCGAAAACGATGAGCGTTTAAAGGGGTTWACACGAAGCCGCATGTAAACGCACATTTTTTACCCGGATAAAAAAAAAAATCGGCTTCGTGTAAACGCGGGGCCGAAAACGCTTTAATTTCTTGCTGGAAGACATCCGTGAATATCTTAGTATTTATCGGTACCATTAAGACTATTAAGTACTAAAGTTCATACCGATCATACCATATATCCGTGATAACGTTAACTGACAAAATTGTACAAATTCGTGCAAAGTTTTGCAAGTTTACGGTCTTGAGTGCAAGCCATAYATTAGTGAAAAACTTTGTAACAAATTGCACAAATCGTAGTAAGCTCAGTAGATCTCTGTGTTTCCATAGACCTACAAAACTCAGTGCACTAATTTGTACGATTTTGTTAGTTAACTTTTTCACGGACATATCATATTCACTCTATTGAAGTCTACTGAACTTACAAATTTGTGCAAATATTGTGCCATTTCTTAAGGCCGGTTTAGGCGGTATGATTTTCGCCTGAAACTATCGTATACCGACACGCTTGCGTCTGTCGTAGGCGAGTTGTAGGCTTGATTTACACGCTACGACTCGAGTTGTAGGATGGCGCGAGCGTGTTGTATACGATAGTTGTAGGCRAAAATCGTACCGTCTAAACCGGCCTTTACAAAGTTTTTTTTATGAATACTGTATATGGTATGCACTCGAACGCCTTTAGATTAAATCTGTATTATTTCTATCATCATGATTATTTCTATTGTTAATCAGGAGCGATTTTCCCCACCCTTCAAGCAGACTACGAAGAGGCTTTTCTGTTTGCACTCGATGAAGTGAATAGGAATTCTTCTATTTTACCGGGCACGGAGCTCGTACCGCTYATCAATAAGACTGATGCTTACAGCACCTTTGATAACATACGAACAGGTTTGTGAGAGTCATTCAGTATATGTACATGCTGATTGTATAATTTTCTCTAGCGATACCGTTAAAGATGGACACAATACTAAGGTTAAGGGAATGGCAGGTGGTCGGAAGCATTACGCCTAACCTAGTAAAAGGCTTATATAAAGGAATAATTCGCAAGAGAATGACAAGTGATCTGAAATGGAAAAACATTACACCCAAAGTAAAAGGGCTATAAAAGATATAAAACTCAATGGAATGACGTGGTCTGTAATGGGAAAACATTGCGCCCAATTGCAAAGTAAAAGTCCATAAAATATGTCAGTAATACTCAAGGGAATGACAGGTGGTCTGAAATGGGAAAACATTACGCCCAATCACTTAAAATAAACTGGGGGCCTATGAAAGAAATAATACTCAAGGGAATGACATGCGGACTGGAATTGAAAACAAATCACACATTTCGCACAAAGTAAAACTGATGGGTATTATTAGTACCACCAACATCTGTCTGTATGAATCAAGCTTCCATGCGTGTTCTGACTATATTAATAACTGATCTTTGACTATGTTGTATATTTCAGTCCAATATCTTCTCAAGAAAGGCGTGGTGGCYATAATAGGACCGATGACGTCAACAGCGGTCAAGTACACCCARCCATACTGCGCCGGYTTTCACGTTCCTCAGTTGGCTCCCGTAGCAACTGACCCTACATTCGAGTTCAGTCCCGGGAATTTCCCATTCCTCGTTCGACTCAACCCGAGYGATTCTCTGCAATGTCAGGCATTGGCTGGAATCATCGATTCGTATAACTGGTCGCATTTAGCGCTACTCACTTCAAAGGACGACTACGGTAGGTTGATAGAATTGTTTTATTAAGTAACACCATTGTCAACTTCAATTTATGGTGTTGGTCTGGCAAAATTAATATTTCATTTGGTTGAGCAAAAGTCAGGAATTTTTAAGACTGGTTTAAGCTTGTGGCAACCATATAACTTGATGGTTTTCAACCACTCCCAAGAGAATTAAATAACAAAAGACATGGCGGCCATGTTGGAGGATATGACAAAAGAACTCATTGACAATTTTTTTTTAACTCCTCCAACATGGCCGACGTGAAAACCATCAATAATAAATGAATATCGATTATGGCAAATAGTTTGTTAGATTCAACCAACATTGGGTCTATGATTACAAACTTTCAATACTCCATTTTACAGTTCCGTTCAGTGACCACGAAAAATAGTTCCTAGCCGAGGCTGGAGTTTCCGCGCATGATAAACTGCAGTTTATCAACTACAGCCTCGGTTAGGAACTATTTTTCGTGATCACTGAATGGAACTGTATAATGGAGTATTGGTTAACACACTGAAGGCCACAATAGGCCTAGACCTTTTCCAAATTCGCTTGAGTGATTATGAAACAATGGCTTCAGTTCGAGGATGGACTCGATATGTTCATATATCATTTATTTAATTATTTATCAACTCTATTTATACAGAGGTGCCCAGTTCAGCAAAGCTGGTTTGAATAGGGCTCCGTTTAAATTAATCTAGTCTACTGTATTTGCTGTATAGTATTTCATCATGTCCAACCATTGGAACATTTGAACCATTGTTTCGTGGCTATACTCAAGCAAAATCGGTAAAGGGGTATTGGAATATTTTTAAGTGTTTCTAATGAATGCTGTTCATTTTGGATGATTTGAAGGTATCAATGGCTTGTTGGCTTTGAAAGACATAGCCAATCAAAAAGGCTGGAAGATTCACGCCAACGAACATTTTGACACAATTACTAACTACAGCGCGCTGGACATCAAACTTCAATTACGTGCCATTCAAAAGAGTAAAGCAAGGTTAGTGGTGTTGAATACAAGCACGAGGTACACTTTAGTCATACTGAAGCAAGCTGCTGAAATGGGAATGCTGAAGAGTTGGATTTGGATTRTCACCGATGGTTCTACAAATGCGGTGAGAATTCTATTTGACACATTGTCAATCAACTGGGGTTTTTTTCCATTACAGACCACGTGTMATTCCCAAGAGYATYATCTCAAATCCTTTGTTTGACRATTGCGCATGAGAAATGGATTCATATCAAACAAAGAACTCAAGACACGTGATCTGAAAAGGGAAATGTTATGCTTAACGAGGATGTTGCAATATTATTCTATTTTTAGTTAGGGCTCCTGTTGATAGCAGTGAATAATTATGTTTACTGAAATGATCACTGTGCGGATACTCCAACCGGGAYCACTTTGATAAACTAGTATCRTTAACCAATCATATTACGACATTTAGTTCRATRTTTYTAACCGACCAATCAGATAGCGCATCGATATTATAAGAGCGTGAGAACGTGATAATCTGATTGGCTAACGCTGTTATCAGTTCAATCTCTGTCTAGTTTACTGTTATCTGATTGGTCAGTTTTATTCAAGTGAAAGGATTAACCYTGTTTTAAATACAAGTATCTATTAATCTGTATGATTTTTTGATGTGGTTCATTCTCATCATYGTTACAGGATTGGAGTACTATCCCGGGAGACTTTCCGTTACACGAATACACAGGTGTCATCGGGACGCGCCCTGCATTGGGTCAGGGCACACTTTATACCGACTTCATAAAGAAGTGGGTGGCTAAAGGCCACACAAAGATAAGTGTAAGTACATTAAGCTGAAACTTCCTTTCTCCATAGCATAAATTTATCTTCAAATTCAATACTTCTTTAGCACAAGGTTGTAACCAGGGGAGGGGGAAAAGGGGGCCAGGGCCACCCTCGTGGCAACAAAATGGCGGCTTTTTAACTACTTTTTTCGATAAAAYGTAAAATGTAAGGCCTTTTTTATTTGGCGCTTCGGGGTCGCAARCAAAATAGCGGATTTTTTAATGTGCACCCATCCCCTTTGCAAAATCCTGGCTATGTCCTTGAAGCACACTGCTATATATACAATTCCCCTTAAAATCAGCCATCATACGATGAACTGAATATATCGCTGGATATATATCCCATTCCAGACTCCAGGAGGTAAAACCTACGACAGTGTGTTAGCACTAGCTTCATCCCTTGATGCGATGTTAAAGGGTGGCCACAATGTGACGGAGGAAGCCATGGATTTCGATTTTACAAACCAAGCACAAGTAACGCCATGGCAACCTGGTTCCAAGCTCTTGGACTACATCAAAAGGGTAATCAATRAAGCACTAACTAAGGCATTGAATTGTACGTTATTCTTTTAACAGTTTTATAAAATAATATTTAAGATGTAACGCGCGCAAAGATAGTGTATACTTGGGGATGAAATATATAATAATAATATTAATAAGTAAAATTTATATAGCGCCATTTCGCCATGCGCGCTCGTGTTTATGCAGCCTTATCGCGGAAATAGATAGGTGGATTTATTTATTTATTTATCAACAATATTTACAAAGAGGTGCCGGTCCCAATTCAGCAAAGTTGGTTTGAATGGGGCTCTGTTAAAATAAACTTACAGAMAGAAAATAAAGTACAGAATACAAAAATTAAAGTTACAAAGTACTAAGATTAAAACACTTAACATGCAGTATTGCATGGCRCACAGGGTTAATTTTTAGCTAKATCTAAAATGATAGTGAGATTCCTGTGCATTCTTGTTTTTACACAGGTTCGAATAGATGGAATTATGAGCAATATCGGGTTCACTGCAAGCGGGTCGCCGCTAACTGTAGAATATGACATAGTAAACCAAGGCAGGAACGGATTCGTAAAAGTGAGTACGATGCATACGTATTAACCTTAAAGTGCAAATGAACCCTTCGACAATACTTTCAGTACTGATTCTACATGAAGTAAATAGTTGAATGGTAAAATATTTCTTGATTTGAGYGATGCGTCTCTAAGTTATGAAGGTTTATACTTCCAATATGTTAATAAGTGTGACGTCTACTGAGGCTTAATTAAATATACAAAATTGAACTGGTTCATAGATAMATTATTTAAAAAGCATCATTATTTTACTCATGGTTTACATGCAAGCTATTTAAAWTYTTTTATTTTCAAAATGGCCAGCATTTACAGTACTAGTTACAACATGTACAAAAACACTCAAATACCTTACCTGACGTCTTCATCATTAACATATTGGAAGTATAAACCTTCATAACTTAGAAACGCATCMCTCAAATCAAGAAATATTTTACCAATCAACTATTTACATGCAGAATCAGTACTGAAAGTATTGTCAAAGAGTTCGTTTGCACCTTAAGAGCGAATCTAGCGTGGGCTTGTCCCATTCCATGGACACGTTCATGTCTGAATGTCAATATACAAACCATTCCCTATAATTCAACAAAAAGTGTACGTACTAAGCGCAGATCGAAAGGGGATAGGMCCTTTGCAGCTMAGYAATCACRTGCTGATTAAYTCRCTGAGAGCAAATGAATGAACATCTTGATTCCCATGGGKKARATATACTGGTGAGCAAACAAACTTTCTACAACCTGTTCCGACGAGAGATCGTAATAAAACTGCATTTCGTAACRCGCTGATTACACATCATTTCATTGAGTTCTTTACAAGTAACTAAAAAGAATCACCAATTTAAAAGAAAAACAAAAATTTTACTCAACAGTAAAAACACGATGAATATGGATATAACTCAAACAATGAAGCTTATTCTCCTGGGAATTGAACGACACGGGCCGGGTCAGAAAGCTAACCCCCCCCCCNCCAAGTAAAAACCATAACAGCAGTTTTTGTCAGGTTGGTCGATGGAGCAGACAGGATGGTCTTAAGATGGACCCTAAAACACCAGTTTATTGGTTGTCAGAATCTACTGTTGTGCCCAGTGATATCGCTAATAGTGTGCAGAACACTACACTCAAAGTTGTCGCTGTACTGGTAAGAGAATAGATGCATAAACAGGGACGTAGGAGCCAGGGGATGAGGGGGAGGGGGTGCTATGGGGGTTGTACCCCCTCCCCCTACTTTTAGAGAAATTATGTTTCAAATTTACCGTTCGTAATAATGCTAAAATACCCACAATGTTATAAAACTAATTATAAAATAACTGTTATGAATGTCGCGTTCTGATTGGTTTGGAGCGCKTGCTTTATGAGAGCACATTGCACGCGCGCGCACTTTCCGTTGCGTCATTCCTATCTATCATTGTAATTTGTATTTTATAAAAGAAATAAAAAACTTGCTTGCTGTGCTGTGYGCAGTCATAAACCACTTGGGGATTGGCAGAACACTCGAGAAGTGTCCAGAAGCACTCCGCTGATACAGGCAGACTACTAACTTATCATAAATATATTATCTCTCTTATGGTTAGATGGGTGGATTGACTCAATTTTTAACAAGACATTTCGATCTCATTTATCCAGGATCATCCTTTCGTGTTTCTCAAGACTCTTCCAGACGGTACCAAGGAATTCGACGGCTTTTGTATCGATTTACTAAAGAAACTCAAAGAGATGTTAAAATTTGACTACGTCATTGAACTAGAGAAGAATGGTATTTACGGAGCCCAAGACATTTATTCACTGAAGTGGAATGGAATGATAAAGGTTCTTATAGACGGGGTAAGATGTTAGTTTAACGGCAAGGCAAGGCACGTGCGCACASCACGGCACTATGTCCTGATAGTGCCGTGTCCAAGCATTTTAATATTTTGATTATTATCGTGTTCGAGCTTATATCAGGAATGATACAGCTATGTCAAAAAAGGTGGTGAAGGTATTGTTGCATGTTG